GCGCCACCAATTATACATTCTTCTGTGAATTTCTTTGTTTTAGATTCTGAGAGGAGCGATGAATGTATTGGTTTTACAATGATGTGTGTTTTTTTTTATATTTTTATATTTTTATATTTTTATATTTTTTTTTGTGTCTGTCATCACGTTTTGGGACAGTAAAAGTGCTTCGATTTTCTTCAATAGTACCTTTTCTGATAGGAAAGTGAATCTAGTTGGTACTTTGGGGGGTCAAAAGTAAACATTTTCCAGTAGTTTTCACAAGCGCCGGTAAAAACAACATAAAAATTAAGGAAAAACGGGAATTTTTACGCAAAATCGATTTTCCAAAAAATCGAATTTGGTTTTTGGTGTAACTTTAAAACAAATGACCGTGAAATGATACATGAAATTTTCACTGGTTGTTTATATTTGCATTTTCTATACACGATAACATTTTCAAAATATTTTGATTTATTTTGAACTGTTTAGGGACATTTTCATTTTCCATTTTTTTTTAGTTTTTTTTCTAAAAATATCAATAAAATTTTATTTGTTGGTTGCGAAAGCTTGAAAATTTAATAGAAGGCTCCTAATATGTTGTTTCAAAGGCAGATGAAAAATATTAAAAATCCTTAGTCACAATTTTTTTTTATAAGCATTTGAAGTTCAAAAATTGACAAAATATGGAAAAATCACGAAAATTAGCAAATTATTTTGAGTTCAGAATTCGTAAAAATTTTTCTTTTTAAATCTAAGATTTGAAAATGAAACACAAGATTCCTTATAAGATTATCTACCTTTATCAATAAAAAAATCTCTACCGGACAGTCAAATTAAATTTTTATGAGCGTTTGAAATTCAAATTTTTACAACATTGGATTTTCACTCGATTACTCATGTAGCGATTTCCTTATTTTGTTGCAATTCAAAAACGAACAACTGTAGATACATGAAAATTTCACTGAATGTTTAAATTAGCATTTTCTATACACCATACAATTTTGAAAATATTTTGACTCTTTTTGAGCTGTTTATGGACATTTACAGCTTTCAATTTTTTTTAGTTTTTTTTTCTATAAATATCAATAAAGTTTTATCTGTTGGACCAAAAAGTGTAAAAATGTAATACAAGGCTCCTGATATATTGTTACAATAGCAGTTGAAAAATATTAAAAATACATAGGCACAGTTTTTTTTTATAAGCATTTAAAGATCAAATTTTGACAAAATTTATCAAAATCTCGAAAATTATCAATCATTGTAATTAATAAATTATAAAATGTTCAGTTTTTATAGCTAAGGATTACAAATTCAACACAAAGTTTCTCATAAATAGTTCATACTATAACCAAAAAATCTAAAAAATATATGAACACACTTATTTTTTACAGACATTTTAAATTCAAATTTGGACGAAATTACATATTAAAAAACCTAGAATAACTATTTTAGTTATTTTGTTGTGATTGAATAATATTATTCGTGGGTACTTGAAACTTCTAAAGTGTGCTATTATATATCTATGATAGTATCACGGTTTTTGTTGATGTATAACGCGTTATAAGTATCTAATGGATATTGTGATATGATTAATTTGGAATTTATTATAGGTACCTATTATAGGTCAATTTTTTGTTTAATACCATAAATATGTATATAATATGTCTTATACCTAGAAGGACCTACCGTCTCCGCTCAGAATCGTTTTTCTTATACAATGATATTATATCATTGAATTCAAATTTAATACCATCCAATATACAGTGACCCACTTGTAACCTACTGTACAGCAGAGCGACACCCACTTGCCCACCTTTTTTGATTGGCTCTTGATTTTAAAGTTAAAATTCAGTTGATCTGTTTACTATAATGACAATTTTAGATTATACTACAATGTAAAAGATTGTTCCTATTAAGGTTAGGTTAAGCTTTGAGCATTGATTTGACGTTCAATGCACGAAAAAAAATATTAGATATTTAATATTGTACCTATACAAATACAAGATTATATTAAATATATATGAACACACGACCATTAAAAGTTCAACTCACCATATTTTAACTTTTATTATGAGTATTTACCAACCAATGAACAAAATACTTATACTATTTACTACTGACTCAGGTCTACTCTCCTTTAATTGTAAGTTAGACACGTTTATGATATTTAAATGCCTATATAATTTCATAGAAATGCACTTAACCATGCTATATTACCAAACAAGCCATAGATTACGTATGTTTACATAACTGATATTGTATACTTAACATTGTGTTTATACAGTCGAGTGAAAGTAATAATATAAATTCTACTGTTAGTTTTTATCAGACATTGTTACTAATACATTAGTGCAGCAGTTCTCTTTGAGTATGGATTTTGACGTTCAATACACAAACATAATATTATATATTTAATTATTTAGAATTATAAAAAACCTTAATATTGTACCTATTCTAAACTGGACCTAACTTTTAGGTACTTGGTGATGACGCGGATGGAGAGGAGGACGTGGAAGGAGTGGTGGTCCAGATGGACGTAGTGGAAGGAGTGGAGGTCCAGAGAGAGGACGTTGACGTGGTCGACCGTCAGGTGGAGGGGAATGGGGAAGTGGAATTGGCAGAAGTCCAGATGGATAGGATTGAGGACGTTGAGTACGTGGAAGTGGTGGAGTACGTGGAAGTGGAAGAGGATGTGGAGTACGTGGAAGTGGTAGAGGATGTGGAGTACGTGGAAGTGATAGAGGATGTGGAGTACGTGGAAGTGGAAGTGGCAGAGGAGGTTGAAATGGTCGACGACGGGGTGGAGGAAGTGGAAGTGGCAGATGAGGTGGAAATGGTCGAGGAAGTGGAAGTGGCCCACGACGGGGTGGAGGACGACTTCCCGGTAGAAGATATTGAGTACGTGGTAGTGGTCGAACTACCCGTAGGGCGTGCGCCAATGATAAACCGGCAAGGGGGCGTAACACACCCGGTTCCAGAGCGGCACTACGTGGGTGCACTGGACAGAGTCTGCAGACATTGTTACGCCCGCCACTTCAGTGGCGAGGAAACGTCCCGGGGTCACTTCAACACGTGTTGTAACAATGGCCAAGTGACCGCTGCAGGACAGCACGCGTTGTTGCCCGTCCCCTATTTAATACAGAGTTTATTTATAGATGATTCACAGGATGGCCGTAGATTCCGGGCGGACATTCGGCGTTACAACAATGTTCTGGCATTCGCTGCGTTTACCTGCGACGCAAATGACAGGCGTTTGCCAGGGCGGGGACCGCCGGTGTGGATTGTCCACGGTCAGACCTATCGGAGGACCAACAATGAGGTGGCCGTTGCCCCGGGAAGTGCCAACAACTGTCAGTTGTATTTTTTGGAGTCCGAAGAGGCCAACCACCGGCGTCTCGATATTGCACGACAGAGCAATCATGAACTGTCCGAAATCGTCATAGGATTATTGGACGGTTTGCTGCGGGACATCAATCCGTATGCGATGGCTTTTATGTAAGAAAACTTTAACTATTGTATTTATTAACACTACACTGAACCAAATATCATGAGTAAAAATAATAATAAACAATTATCAATTTTTAACAATCTGACATTTATTGAATCAATTATTATTTTATTATTTTTATTACAAATATGTTTAAATTAATTAATTATATGTTAAAAACAACAATTGGGTTTATTGAAATGAATACTATGTATTTTCACATTTTAACAATCACAATTATTTATATAATGTGTTATTTAATAATTGCATTATTGATTTAAAAAATGATGTATTTAAAATAACATTACGTTGAATTAAATTAATAAAACCATTATCATTTCAGTAGTAAGTATAGACTTTAGATTGATAAATGCTATTATTAACTTAGTTTCCAGCAAATGCAAAATTCGTATTCTATTTATATCTTAATTTGTTGCAGATCCACAATAATTATTATTATTTCAATAACGTATAAAATTAATTTGATAACATATCATGATTATTTATACACAAAAAGTTAAATTGATCAATTCATTGCTATCGTTTTTGTCTTTCGTGTATCGTGTTATGAAACAGTTGCTCGTATGCACTTATGCAGTTGTATTACTAATTAGTAAAGTTCAGAATCCAGAAAAACTGTTCCTCTGCCATAATAGCTATTAAGTTAATCAGGTAGGTATATTCATATTAAAATTTATTACAATATTACAGTGTCACATAAAAGGTAAGTACCTTATTATTTATGTTATTTTCATAGTTTCTGTAGTTCATGGTAACTAACATTTTTATAATTATTTTATTCAACCATCAATACCCAATTTACAATTATGATTTGTTTTATTTGCAAACAAGATATTTCAATTTTTTCAGCACTGATAGTTCATTTAAAAATAATTCATTTGTTAAAGTCTTCGAGTACATATGAATGCATAGAAAACCAATGCACTCAAATATTTCCCAATTTAAATAGTTATAAAAGACACGTTACAATAAAGCACTTAAAAAATACTTTTAGTTTACCTACATCAACACTTAATAATTCTTATACTATTTGCGATAATATTAACAATGTTAATAACACTATAGTTAAAACCCCGGAGCCTTTGGATACTGCCTATAGCCATGATATAACCAAAACCAACTATAATCAACAACCCCCTCCAGAAAGTCATAATTCCTTTGACTTAAGTAGTATCATTAACTCATTTCATATTTCTGCAGTTACATTTACTTTATCATTACTTAATAAAAATAACTTCAGTAGAAAAGATGTTTTTGATATCCAACAAAAAATGAAAATAAGTTTATTGGAACCAATTGTGAGTTTACTTACTAGTTCTACCAAAGAAACAATTAAAGAACCAATTTTATTAGCAACTTTTCAAACAATTACATCAGCAATTTCTGATACATTTAATTTTTGTAATACCGAATATTCTTTAAACAGTTAGTTGAAAATCACTTATTTGAAAACATTCAACAATTTACTGTTAATGAAGAGATTGACTTAGTATCTAACTCAGGTAAAACTATGTATAATAACCAAATTACTAAGGGTGTATTATTGCCAATAAATTTTCAGTTTAAAAAATTCTTTGAACATGATAACAACTTAGATAAAACTTTAACAATCTATGAACAATTGACAAAGAACACAAATAATGAAACAGAAATAAAACATTTTGTACAAGGAAAATTGTGGCAAGAAAAAACTTTACCCTACCGGGGTAAAATTACAATCCCCTATTTTATGTACATAGATGACTTCGAAATCAATAACCCGTTAGGGTCGCATGCTTCGGTTCATTCTATTTCAGCTATATACTATAGTTTTCCCTTATCTGACCAATCAAAATTAATAAACATTCATTTAGCTGCTTTAATTAAAGCTGCTGACGTTAAAGATTTTGGAAATGATTTATGTTTTAATAAATTGATACATATATTAAATGATATTGAAGTAAATGGTATCAACATAACAACTTCAAATGGTGTCAAAAAAGTTCATTTTATTTTAGGACTGTTTATTGATGACAATTTAGGAATAAACGCTATCAGTGAATTTAGCAGATCATTTTCTTCCAATTTCTTTTGTAGGTTTTGTAAAGCTCATAAAACTGTAACGCATAAACTATGCAAAGAAAATAATTCACTACTTCGTAATTTAGTCAACTATGCTGAAGATGTTGCAATTAATGATTTAAAGTTAACTGGGATTTCTAAAGAATCAATTTTAAATAAAATTGTTTCTTTTCATGTTACAACTAACTATAGTGTTGACATGATGCATGATATATTCGAAGGCATTTGTCATTACAACATGTGTCATATAATCAACTACTATACTAATGTAGTAAAAATTTTCTCACTTGATTTACTAAACTATAGAAAACAGAATTTCAATTATGGTGCAATTGAAATAGGAAATATCTCACCTATTATTAAATCAACTCATTTAAACAATTTTCACTTAAAAATGTCAGCACGCGAAATGATGACTTTCGTTTATTATTTTCCGTTAATGGTAGGAGACTTAGTTCCTGAAGATGACAATGTTTGGTTATTTTTCTTAAATTTTTTAGAAATTATTCAAAATTTACTATCAAGTCAAATGTCTGATGGCTCTATTTTCCACCTTCAACAAATGATAGAAAAACATAATTCAGAATATGTCTTATTATTCAATGATAATTTAAAACCTAAATTTCATTTATTGATACATTATCCAACAGTTATAAAGTATTCTGGGCCTCCAAAACATTTTTGGTGTTTCAGATATGAAGCTGAGCATAAAGAAATGAAATCATATGCCCATGCAATAACATCCCGTAAAAATATAACTTTATCGTTGGCTAAAAAATTTCAATATAAATTTTCATACAGCATTCTACAATCCTCATTTAACACTGAAATAATTACAAATAAAATACATGTTAACTCTAGTAATTATACTCAACTTATTTTAAGAAATTTAAATTTAACTAGTGACCAGTTTATGTGTTATTCACAAATGGAATTTAAGGGTACAACATATAAAGTAGGATACTTTTTAACAAATTTTATTGATGAATTGTGTCTTTATGAAATTTTAGAAATATTAGTAATAAAAAAAAACTATAAAGTTAATTTTATTGTTCAACAAATTGAAATAGATTTATATAACTCTCATTTAAAATCATACCAGATAAATAAAACCAAAAATATTATTTTAAAAAAAATATTAAGTCCTGGGGAATGTAGTGGACCACCAGTAAATTTACATGAACTCCCCAACGGCAACATAATGTTAAGATTAAAGGAATATTATTCAGATTGATAATCACAAAAAAAAACCCATACTTGTTTATTGTTATTTTTATTATTATTATTTTTTTTATTGATCATTAAATACATTGACAACTAAGCCATTAGTATAAGGATTTTGTGTTAGGTTAGGTGTTATTTTATGTTTTTATATGTGTTTAGGGCATTCATTTTGTTGAATATAGCTCTTTTGATAATTTGATCTCATCGTTCCACCAGAGAACTTTGAGTTTTTTGATGTGGTTTATAGAACTACCAATTGATATTCCTGCAGCTAAGGTAATTATGTCAGTTAATGTTTTAACTTCAATATTTGATTGGTTATTTTGTTGTATTTTTGTAATTTCATCTTCTATATTACCGCTGAATTACGTCCAGTTTGGTGCTTTTAAATTTCATCTATGACTTTTATTTTATTACTTTCTCCTATCCTGGTCATAAAGTTTGTTATTGGAAGGTGATCGCTGCTGTAAATATCTGGAAGCACTTCCCACTTGAGTCTTTGGGCTAGAGTGGATATGCACATTGTTAGGTCAATACAGAATAAGGTTCCATCGTCTAGATTGATATGAGTGGGAGACATCTCATTTAACATTACAATATTGTTGTTTTCTAATAGTTTTTCAATTTTTTTGCCTCTATAGTCTGTTTTTTCGGATCCTTATTTATAATTTAGTTAACATAATTTTGTAAATATAGTTTAGTTTTATATTAATATCTTATTGGTTCCTTATTTTCTTAAGGTTTTTTCAAAATGAATGATATATTTCATAATATAGAAGATTATCCAGCCAATTTCACTTGTGCAGAATATGTACCTATTGATAATGGTGTTTCTGAAATGTCTCATAACACTAATGGCCATTCTGCTCAATTCACCTCAATGTATAAACATTCAACATTTGTAGATCCTGAGGGAAAATTGAAAGTACTTCTCACAGAGTGGAATCTTGAAGTGGTATATCAAACATGTTTAGGTAATTAATTAAAAAATAAAGTTGAATATTTTATTTAAATTTCTAATTCATAATTTTATTTTTAGATCAACTAATTGATTTTGAAGTATTAGGGCTGATGAATGAAAAACATGTTGAGATACTGCTGTCAGACTTTCCACTGGGAATTAGAATCAAATTTGAAAACAGGGTAAAAAGATACCAAGAAAAAGAAATTCAAGCTATCATTAGTGAGCCATTTACTGTTGATAAGTCATCTAGTTATCAAGTTGCTATTAATAATACTGGTTCGTCTTCACAAAGCCCAACAAGCTTATCAGAAACTAACGTATTTCAATTACAAAATGTCTTAACAAGCAGCGCACAGGGATCATTGATTTTCGATTATTACAACAAAAATAAAATATTAAATGAAAGTTGTCGCAATATCTTAGTAGAAATTATCATAAGCGACGTCATAAAAAGAGATGTTGTTATGACATTGAAATTAGCAAATTGTATTGCTGAAGCTATTGTTGGTAGTTTTCCTACTGAAATTAAAGTTAGTATTTAATATTTTACTTCAATATGTAACCTAGTAAATTAATACCATGTAACTGTATTTTTGTAGGATTCATATTTTATAAAAGATTCCATAACTAAAAGTCCTAAAGGAAAATTATATATAAAATATTATAATACAGTGCGGTCGATGAAACAAAATGGTCTTATAGAAACTGTAAGAAAAGAAAAATTGAAAAAACAAGTAAGCCGTACAATGGATCGAGATAACAATATACATGGTAATACAATAATTTATGAACATATTATATTTAATTTTAACATGTTTTTTTAATAAATAAGATTTGCAATTTAATGTAAAAAAATATTTTTTGTATAATGTATTTAATAAAACATTTAATCAAAATAAGCCTTTAACGATGTACCTAATGATTAATTATAAAAGTCAATGTTCTTTAAAACTTTAAAAAACCTTATGTTATGATAGAAAGTAATATTTTGTTTTATTTTTTATTTATTAGTTTTAAACAGGTGTGAACTCTTCAACAAAAGATAGAGACACCATAAATAGATACAAGTTAAATCTGACAGATTACAATAAACACAATAAAAAATCAAATTTTCAAAAATAACAAAAAAAAAATAAATATAATTTAATTAAAGTAGGAATAGTTGATAAAATGTATTTACTTGTATGTTTTTATTTATTTTATAGTTGCTGAACCTAATTCAGAACAAGACTCTACTTATTTAATGGATACAGATTTAACTTGGCCTGAGGTGGAAGAAATTTGGAAAAAAACAGTAAATTTTCGTCAAAATTTTATCAAAGAAAACGATACTAGAGCTATATTTGATAAATTTCATCATTATACAAAACCAATGGGTTATAAACTTGTAAGTTCGAAAATATTATTTAATAAATTGATACCTAACTAATTAAAAAGGTAATGTATATAAATATACACTATACAGGGTGATTCACCAAACATGCTCATTGCTCACCCCTTTTTTCTTCAATAATGCAGTTATTCAAAATCTGATAAAATAAAAAATAATATAAAATATCTATAATCAGTATAATCTGATAAAATAAATTATAATATTGAATTATGATAATTTATTCAACAAAATTTATTTTTTAAAATCAAGGGAATTATATTTACAAAAATAGGTATATTATAAGTACTTAATAAACAATGTATGTAATCTATTGATGATGAAATTTTAGGTTGATATTGATTTCAAAAATGTATACCCAGAACATCAACAGTTAAACTTAGAATTCGATAGAATATATAGCAAATTAATAACAGTTTTAAATGAGCGAGTGAAGGACTGCGCAAGTAGGAAATTATTGGAACAATTAAATAGCACCCAAGATTTGTCAGTTGGTAAGCATTTAAAAACTATAAAATATTTTACTCTGGATTATGTATGAACATAAATTACAAATTACAATGATTCCTTTAATTTATTTTTCAGATTCCAAGAGTTTGATTGTATTGTATTTGTTACACAGTATATTTATTCCAACATCTAAAAAGGTAACACGTGATGAAAATGGCAAAAAAGGATTTATTAAATTCAGTATAAAGGATTCACAGAATGCATTCATTATTATTAAACCAACAGCTGTGGAAATGGATGCAACACTTCAAAATATGTCAAGTAAACGTCCTATCCAACCATGTGTCTTGGTCATCGGATCATTGATGGATCCGAAGCAAATACTAATATATTTTGATACCATAAAATATAAAATGTTTAGTGCTTTGAAAGCTTATGATATGTGTTTCAAGATATTTCACGTCTTTAATGTGGAATATCCAATTGAATCACATGATGTATGGTCATTTATTCAAACTTTTTTTTATAACATTAAAACAAAATATGACAAGTCAAATGTTTTAATTAAACAGATTTCAGTTGAATTAAATACATAAATATATTGTCCAGTACATTACACTATTACTTATAAGTTATAAAGTAGTAAAATATTTTCATACAAATCTCAATAAACATTTATATTCACAAGGGCTGTGTTCTATACTATTTAGCTATTTATAATAGATAGTTTTCTACATATAATATTTTGTATTGTAAATTGTAATGTTATTAGACCTCTAAGTATTATTATTTTTTTTAAATATATTGTGTCTATCAGTTAGATAATAATAAATATTATAATATATTGCTATCTATATATTTTAATTTTGTAAGTGTAATGTAAATATGTAATTTCAATAAGTACAAAACAATTTCATACAAATCTCATTAAACATTTATATTCACAAGGGCTGTTCTATACTATTTAGCTATTTATAATAGGTAGTTTTATACATATAATATTTTGTATTGTAATGTTATTAGACCTCTAAGTATTAATATTTTTTTTATATATTTTGTCAATCGTTAGATAATAATAAATATTATAATATATTACTATCTATATATATATAATTTTGTAACTGTAATGTAATTTCAACAAGTACATATTATTTTTTGTTTTAAATGTATTTAAATGTAATATAATTTATAATAATTTGTACGTATTATTTTTAATTAATAATATTGTACAACCTAATTGGTGTTTAATTAAAAATAAAAAATATTTCGATTTAATAAATGTTTTGTTTTTGTTTAATTAACAAATATAATTTGTAAAAACAACCAAATCCTATTTTCAAAAATCAAATTTTTATTGTTTTTTTTTTTTAAAAAAATGCAATGTGGATTTAACAAAAAGTTTATTAGTATGATACAACATATGTTTAAATTAATAATATAAATTAATAGATTTAATAAAATAATGTTGTTCGTACAACAATATATACTTTTAAATCAACAAAATGTTCGTTTATTTGTTTTAAATCTTAATGAATCGATTAACAATGAGTATTGTTAAATCAAAAAACCATTTAATCATTTCAAATATTCATTAGTTGAATTGATAGAGTTTCTACTTCTCAATCAATAAACGTTTTATTAACTGTATATTAACAAATACTTTGTCAAACCAACCTACATTTTTATTGAAATAACTTGTATATTTTTTTGAGTGTAGGTATGTGAATTGCCCCCCCCCCCCTTAGAGTAGCACAACCATACCAACTATTATTATTATTATTATCTATGTAACCCTTATAGTAAATTCTAAGTAGATGTTTTATTGTTACCTATTCTGTGTGACTCTCTAAGCTTACTACACCCACACACACACACACACACACACACACACACACACACACACACACACACACACACACACACACACACACATATTTATAATATACATTTTTATTTTATATTGTGTTAATAAACATAATAATAATAATATATTCATTTAGCAACGAAAAGTTTAAGTTATAGATAATAGATGAATAATGAGAGACAAGTTTCCTGTAAAATCAGAAAAGCTGAGTTGATATTATAATAATTGTTATAAAGAGAATGTGTTCATAATTATAAAATAGAAAATATTTAAAAGATAGTTAAACGAAATAGTAAACTTCAAAAACGGGTTGAATACAATAGAAAATGTTTCAATAGCTGTTTCTTATAGCTTATAGCTTATTCCTACCAAGTTAAATGCACTGAATGATATTTACATACCATTATATTACCTACATTAAAATTTTGGTTATATAATACATTTACAAAAACCTATTTTCTATTGGTTAATACTTATTTGTTATTTAAGATACCTAAGGTATAATACATGCAATTCATTTGTTGTTAATACTTGGAGTCAATACTCAATTATATAACATTAAATATGACATAGGGTTCGGATGTTTATGATTTAAGATATTTATGTAGTTTCTAAGTAAAAGAGATACATTGAGATACATTTAACAATACATTAATACATTTTAATTCTCTACGCTTATTATACCTACACACAGACACACAAATATTTAAAATATCACTGCTACCAATATCTCCATATTGGTAAATGGTTTTAAATTTTACTTTACTATTATTACACATCCAATTATTTCTAACAATATAGAGATAAATGCACTGTATATAATATTAATATACTATTAGGTTACATAGGTACCTACATTATATTTTAGTTTACAAATCCTTAACTCCAAATACACCAATTACCATCTCACATTACAATTCACAATTATTTGTACACATCATGGAGTGTGATAAACATAAATATATAAATGTCTATTCGTTTCAGGAACATGCGTCAGGTGTGGCTGGCAGAAAGAGCCCTAGCCGATCCCGCAGCTGTACCACCTAGACCAGTCAGGATGCATTTTGTCGAAGATGTGGCCCGGGATAGGGGCCGGAACAACCTGCCAACCGCAAATGAAGTTGCGGCCGTGTTCGTAGGTGAAGGTGGTCTTCCTCCCAGACACATCAATCTGATCATCTACGACACCAATCCAATCGACCAGCAACGGAGGACGCAATTCATACCAGCAGGTTAGTTAATTAATATTTAACACTTACAATATTTACCTTACACTAGGAATGAACTACTTCCTCTTCGACTTTTGTATACCTCACACACACACACACACACACACACTTCAACCCTTTTACTTGTGCAGTAATACTTATTACATTAGCAATTTCAGTTTGTTGTGTGATAAAACAAAAGCCTTTACATTATTATACATTAAGTTGAATAAATTATTTTCATACAATTGTAGTGATAGTATGACAATAAGTTACATTAATCAAATCTATAGTTCCATTACTTCAATGCTTAATTCACTGTTCTCTTTTTCATTCAATTAATAACTAACATCACTTAGAATTATTAACATAGAACCTCAGAATTCATATTTTAGATTATTTTATAAATTACATTTCTTAAAACATTATGTACCTGCTATACACATAACACAATCATAATAAATAAAGAACTCACAGTTAAATTACATCCCATCACATAGAATCATGGTACAGTAAATATCCGACCATACATACATTCTGGACATTCTTTTGAAATTTAATTTGTTATTTACTAATTAACTGGGGCAAAACCTACATACATAATAACACTTATTAAATTAACAGTGTACATTTATTGTGTTTGTGTATTATTTTCATAATTTTGTAGTGGTAGTGTTACAACAAGTAACATTAATCAAATCTTAAGTTACATTACTTCAATCCTTTGTGCTCTTATTTCAGAATTTGACTGATATCACTTACAGACATACACTATTAATATATTTTGTGGTTCTACAAAACATTATGTAGGTACTTGCTATACACACAACACAATAATAATAATAAAAAAATAGATATAAATAACTACTAAATAGAGTTAAGGAATTATAGTTTCGTATAGATTCATATTTTTCATTTCTCAGTATGTAATATACTTAATAACTAACAGCACTTACTATATTATAGCCGATATAATATTAGAGTTAATATTTTCAATACATTATTTCATACCTTTCTTTGGCGATTCTACAAATTGTGTATTCACAACACAAACGTATCTCAATAAACCAACTCTCAGCTACTACAGACCTTTGGTTTAACTTAAAGTTTATTATATTTCTCAAGGTTCGTGTCACTCGGATCCCATGTTGTATCCGCTGTTTTTCCCGTACGGCGAGGCCGGTTGGCATAACGGGATGTTGCAAGAGGGCCCTCGACGAAACAATGTCCGCAGTCGAAACACTATAAGGGCTCTTTCACACGAAGCCACCAGAGCGCGCCACCATGGCAGCGCCACCAGAAAAGCACCGCCACTATTCATGCTTCCAGAAGCGCTTCTGTGTTTCGTATGTTTTGATGCAGGTTGTTTTCACTATAGTATACAAATTACCAAACAAAAATACATACTGAACTACATAGTAGCTCCTAGTTCAGTTCCAAAATGGAAGTCGAAGAGCTAGCATGTGTAGCATATCTGTACAGTCGTGTTGTACGCAGACGAAAAAAAAATCGAAAGTTTTGGGTTCATCCACTATTGTCTGACCGTTCTACTAAAGGTCTATTTAATTTATTTTATAATGATTTAAGAAAATATGAAGACAAATTTTTTAATTATTTAAGAATGTCTATTAATTCGTTTGACGAACTAATGGAACAACTTCGAGAAGATTTAACGGGTCAACAAACAAATATGAGAGAATGTATTTCACCTGTCGAAAAATTAGTCGTAACTTTAAGGTAAAGTATAATTTTGGTTAATAAATAGTAAATACTTATATATACGTACAAGCTCCATAAATAAACTATGACATCTAATATTGATCTTACTGATTTATTTTTATTTGAGAAAGATTAATGCCAAATATAGTACATTATTATAAAAATACCCATTACAAATGAAAAATATTAAAATAAAAAAAAAATATACACTGTCTGGTTTAAAATTAGATGACATAGTTTTACTATTTGGTTAAGTTTGGGTTGAATAAATCTGTCTCAATATATGAGTCTGTAGAATTTTCAGTTGAATTGTAGTTTGGTGAAGCCAGTGGAGTTGAAGTACTTGAATTATGCTGTGTTGCAGATGAAGGTCTTATTTGACTATTGAACTGATTTTGTAAAACTCTTTGATAATTTGGATCTGAATATAGTTGGTTTGTTTGATGTATAGAACGACTTGTACATGGATCTTGATTAATGTGAGACATTATATTTTGACTGCTGAGATTATATTGCTGAGGAGAAGATATTACATTTTGACCGCTGAGATTAAATTGCTGAGGAGAAGATATAACATTTTGACCGCTGAAATTATACTGTTGAGGATGAGACATTACATTTTGACTGCTGAGATTATATTGTTGAGGTCGTTGAGGATGAGACAAATTTAGAGAAGCTGGATACGTATTCATTTGAGCATTATTTATTACTTTCATTAAATCCATTTTAACTGAAAAACGTAAAGGCTCGGGTATTTGTTTCAAATCCTTTAATAAAGACAACAAAAACAATCTATCAGCGTCTTCCTCGCAGTGTTTTGCTTGTTCTTCACGAAGTTCAACACTCTTGTGTAATGCACTAATTATTTCGTTTTCAACTGAAGTTCTTGGATTAGCCTTTTTTTTCTTAGAACTAGGTTCATTATTCAATACATTTCTATTAAAAGAACCGCCTAAATCATCTCCACTTTCATCACCATCTGCTGTTATATTTGTTTCGGTAGGTTTATTTTGAATAATAGGTAATAAGAACAATAACTGATTGTAGTAGACATAAGGATTTTTTCTAGAAGTTTCAGACCCAGATTTAAGTTTTTTAACTCTGGCCAACTCTCTAGAAAAACAATCACGTAGACTTTTCCATTTTCGTTGTAAATTTATTCCTAAAAAAGAATAATTTTATATAAAAGTATATATTACCTAATGCATGTTATATTCTGAACGGAGAGATATTACAAGGATTTTTATACAAATGTATTCAACATTTTAATTTTAGTATAAACTTAAGAATTTTTGAACTTTTGAACCCTCAAAAGTACCAACTAGATAAGTATATTTAATTTAGTTTTAATTTTACGCAGATATCTTGCCAGTGGATGTTCTTTTACGGAATTACACCATGAATATCGTCTTGGAATTTCTACTATTTCTGGATTTGTTGCTCAAGTTTGTGAGGCTATATGGAATAGATTAAAAGATGAATTTATGCCTCAACCCTCAACACAAATGTGGCTCGAAATTTCAAATAAATTTGAAACATTTGCAAATTTTCCGAATTGTATAGGCGCCGTTGATGGTAAGCATATCAGAGTAATAAAGCCTACTGACACTGGTTCAATGTATTTCAATTACAAGCATTATTTTTCTATTGTATTGATTGGTGTTTGTGATAGTAACTACTCATTTGTAGCAATAGATGTAGGTGCTTATGGAAAGAGTAGTGATTCTTCAATTTTTAAAGAATCTATGTTTTATAAAAAAATGATGAAGAATGCTTTGAATATTCCTGATCCAAAACCAATTTCAACATTAAATGCAGAACCAATGCCACATGTAATAGTAGGCGACGAAGCATTTGGTCTATCGGAAAATATAATGCGACCATATGGTGGAAAAAATTTAACCGTGACAAAAAAAATTTTCAACTACGACTGTCGAGAGCTCGAAGATATATAGAGTGTACATTTGGAATCCTTTCCAATAAATGGAGGATTTTTCATCGACCATTAAACGTTAAACTTGATTTGGCTCAAAATATAATCAAATCTTGTTGTATTTTACACAACTTTGTAAGGGCAAGAGATGGATATCGTTATGATGATACTTTAACAGTACAAGGATTGGAAAATATAGAAAACACAAATATGACAAGAGGATCACAAACTGCACAAACTGTGAGGGATAAGTACGCAAATTATTTTGTAACTGATGGTGAAGTAGAATGGCAGTACAGTAAAATTTAAGATTTTATAATTAAATTTTAATAAGCTAATTATCTAAAATAGAGATATAAATATATTATATATTAAATAGGTACAATATATTTTTAATATAAATTCAATATAAATTCAATATTTAAATGCTTCTTATTGTAAATAAAAATTTTTAAATAAAGTTTAATTCATATGATTCAGAAATAATACAAGGATATTATTTATACAAGTATAATAAGTACACGTAATATTATATAGGTAATATATTATGTATAATAAATATACATTTTGGATATTTTAGCTAAATAGTAATTATTATTTATTTATTGAAATAAATATGGTAAATATGTACTATAGAACAGGGTTGGGTAAATTTATGTTTAAAATTTGTATAGGTACAGGATGATGTATTATACATTTTTATACATGTAGAAAAGTTAGTTTTATTGTTATTTCTATTTTTGCTCTCATAAAATATAATATAACTACTAAAATATAAAATAATAAAATATAATATAATTACTATAATAATAATAATAATAATAATTCCATGTATATATAATACGTGCCAACCCTGCTATAGACACATACTTACTTTTATTATTATTTATTTTTATTACTTTCACTATTATTTTTTTTAACTCACCAATTTCTTTTTTCTCTTGGACTGTATTATCTTCATTGGAAAATATATCAGTCAATTCTTCCCAACATTTTCTTTTTACATCGCGAATTGAATACTCGCTGCAGGCCGAGTTCCATATTGCTGGACGATTTTCAATTTCTATTATAAACTTTTCGGTGTCAAAGTGACTATCCATGTTCTAATCTATCTTAAAATTATCGACAGCGTCAAAAACCACGTCAACACGCGCCACTGGCAGTGAGTCGAATGAAAATAATTGTGTTTTTACATTACAACAATATACATTTAATTGGTGACGCTTCTATTTTGGTCGCGCGTTCAGATAGTCTGGTCGCGCAAACTTCTACGAGTAGCGCGGCCGACTTGGTGGCGCCACCATGTGTGAAAACCTTCATTTAACTATTAATATCTTGTGGTGGCGCGACCATGGTGGCGCCGCTCTGGTGGCTTCGTGTGAAAGAGCCCTAAGAGAGTTCGCGTGCTACCGTTTGGGCATTCGATATGAGGGAAACAACGACACGAGGCACCAACTGTTCAGCTCAATACATCAAGGCCGGTCCTTGTTGCACATGTTTGTGTGCGACCACTACGTTCAGATGGAAACCAACAATCTGAACTACATACGTGAGAATCAGAGGGATCTCCTTACCGAAGCGTATCAAGGGCTCGTGGACCATGTAAACCAACACCTCAACATCGAACCTATGGCGGTCGGCCATATAAAATAAAATATATAATTTATACATGTGTATGGTACAATGATTGTTATTGTGGATTTTATACGCTTATTTAGTGTGTTCAGTGTGTATGCATTATTTACTACATTTTAGGGCAGTTGTATACATTCACCAATACCTTTAAGTTTTTATATTATATTATGTGGCTTGGTACAAGAAGGGCCAATGTCATATTTTGACAATGTTCAGGAATTCAATCTTAAATTTCATTTTGGAACTCTAAATTTGTTTTTATTTCATTGTAGGACTCTCATTTTGTTGTACGTTTTAGTTTGACATACCTGACTAACCTAACCCAGAGAAATCAATAAAATTACTTTGGTTTTGACTAAAACTTAAAATTTAAGAAATCTTTATAAACTTTCTATTGCATACAGTACTACACATCAGTTAAATAAATCATATTATTAATAACATATATAATTTATACATGTGTATGGTATAATGATTGTTATTGTGGATTTTATACGTTTATTTAGTGTGTTCAGTGTGTATGAATTATTTACTACTTTATTACATTGGAAATTATTAGCATGTAACATTATTTTATGCATGTTTTAGCAGTGTGTCCAGTGTGATTTTACTCACTGTATTTTAGGTTTTTATACTATAAAAAAAATAGCTATATTATATACTTTACATTTAATGTGTTTATTATTATTATTATTATTTTTTATGTTTTTTCATTCAAGCAAAACACTTTAATGGATTCCTATATCTTTGCCATTCTCGTATAAAATATTATACAGTGTTTTAATCAATCAGATTCAATCACACAGATAATGTATTCCACTTGATACAAGTTTTTTTATTTAACTTTACATTTGATGTGTTATTTTCACAGTACAAAATATAATAATTATTTAAATTGTAAACTATTATATAATAATATCCAAGCCGTTTTTGTTTTACATGCGTTACTACAACATTTATTTATCAAAACATATCACAATATATCAGTCATATTAATTACAATTCAATGGTTTTAGGGATTCTTCGTCATGTGCATAATATTTTTCAATGTCAATAATGACACACCGATGGTGTATCTGTTCACTAACAGTCAAAGTAAAGAACTGTGCGTCTTCGTACAATTTTCAAAAATTAGTTCTTAGTATGGTTAAGCGTTTCACTTCAAAATAAATTAAAATTATTAAACACTGTAATATATTATATTGCAATGCAATGTTAGGCGTCTACAGAACAAAAAAATAAATTAAAGTCACATTAATAATTATCATAAATAAAAATAAAAATAATAATAATAATGCGACACCAAACGTTATCATTTCATTTTGAGCCAGTCAATTTATTGTTAGTCATGTTATCAATATTTCTTTTTAGGTACGTCAACTCGAGATACGTCAGCCCGCCAGAAGCCATCTGGCGATTGTTTTCGTACAATTTGCACGGAAAAAGTCACGTTGTCTTCAGGCTTCCCGTTCACCTGGAGGGTCGTCAGAACGTGTACTTTGCGCCGGGCCAAGAAGAAGAACGGCTACAGAACCAAGCCGTACGTCACACGAAACTCACGCAGTTCTTCGCGCTCAACGCGACCAACGCGGAGGCTCGACAGTACTTGTACCACGACATACCGACGCATTACACGTGGCAGGTTCCACGGCCAGAAAGAAATCTCGGAAATCTCAGACAGTGGTGTCCGCGGGTGAATCGAATGACAAACGTTACATTGGCTCGGATGTACGTAGTCAACCCACTGGACCGGGACCGTGTCCACTTGAGATTGCTACTTCTGAACCGAAGAGGCCCGCAGTCCTTTCAAGACTTAAGGACGGTGGACGGGGTCGTTCACGAAACATTCACGGCGGCTGCGGTTGCACTCGGGCTGTTGGAAGACGACCGAGCGTGGCGGGATTGTTTGACGGAATCGGCGACGTTGGACACACCGCGGCAACTGCGGTATCTGTTCGTCACCATACTGGTGTTCTGCGAGCCCTCAAACTCGCTGGCGTTGTACGGCGCGAACGAAGCAAACCTGATGGAGGACTTCAACAGACGACTCCAAGACGTCGACCGCGCGAGGGCCGCGTGTCTGGCAGCCATCGAGGATCTACTTCGTGCGCACGGAAAGTCGCCGGTCGACTACGGTTTGCCCCTGGCCGACCCCCTTCTACTGGAACCACTGCAGCAGGACGATGCGCTGTTCCGAGAAATAGACGCGGCGGCAAGGTGGGCCCCACAAGTGGACGCCTTGGACGCCGAACAGCGAACGGTGTACGACCTCGTGATGGCGGCCGTCGACGACCCGCGCGGGGCGTCGCGAACTTTCTTCGTCGACGGACCCGGAGGTACCGGAAAGACTACGCTGTACGGATGCCTGATATGGTCGCTTCGACACCGACCACAGCCGCGGGAGGTGTTGTGCGTCGCGTACACCGGGATCGCCGCGTCGCTCATGGACGGCGGCATGACGGTGCACTCGACGTTCGGACTGCCGTTCGGCACGCTCACCGAAGACTCGACGTCCACCATCACCATGCAGTCCGAGCGAGCGCAGAAGATACGGAACGCGGCGCTCATCGTCTGGGACGAAGCCCCCATGTCGCCGGGACTGCAACTGACGGTGGTGGACCGCCTGCTCAGGGACGTCATGGTATCGGAATTACCGTTCGGCGGTAAAACCATGCTGTTCGCCGGCGACTTCAGACAGATATTGCCCGTGATCCGGAGAGGGACGAGAGCCAATATCGTCATGTCTTCGATCAAGAAAAACGGTCTTTGGAACGTCATGGAGCGCTTCGATCTGGTACGGAACATGCGCGCGGGCAACGACGCGGACTTTGCGTCTTGGTTGCTTCAGCTCGGCAACGGCCGACTGCCCGCGGTCGACGGCGTTCCGGACACCGTGCAAATCCCGCGGGAAATGGTATGCGACCCCGCCGATTTAATCGATTTCGTGTATCCGCAGCATATGTCGTTGGCCAACGTCGAAGAATTGGCTCGGAGAGTCGTCGTGTGTCCCACCAACGAAGAGTGTAGGAGTGTCAACGGCGACGTGCTGGAGCGCGTCAATGGTGAAGAGATGACCTACACCGGCGTGGACACCATGATGGCGGACGAGGCCAACGAAGTGGCCATTTTCCCCACAGAGTTCCTCAACGGTTTGGAACCGGACGGCCTGCCGCCGTTCCGGCTCGGGTTGAAGGTGGGGTGCATCGTCATGTTGCTCAGAAATCTCGATCCGAGGAGACGACTGTGCAACAGTAGGAGGTTGGTGGTCACCCAACTGCGACGTCACAATTTCAAGGCGAGAATTTTGGGCGGCGACCCACAGGACGACGACATCGTCCTGCCCAAGATACCGCTCACGTCCAGCGGTGAGGACGACCTGCCCATCTCACTGCGACGCCTTCAATTCCCGGTGAGGTTATCGTTCGCCATGACCATCAACAAGTCACAGGGTCAGACGTTCGACAGGGTAGGTTTGCTACTGACGTCGCCCCCGTTCACTCACGGCCAGCTGTACGTGGCGTTTTCGAGGGTGAGAAACGCACAGTCCGTGAGAGTCGGCATGTACGCCGATGACAGGGGGCGATTCGTCACCAAGAACATCGTTTACACAGAGGTTCTGTAATGCATTATGTGTTCACAACTGTAAGTGAAGCTCGATGTTCGAGTCTAGGTGGCGCTCGATGATCAAGTCTAGCGTCACACGCAATAATCCAGTCTAGGTGACACTCGATGATCCAGTCCAGGTGACACTCAATAGTCCAGTCTAGGTGACTCTCGATGATCCAGTCAAGGTGACACTCAATAGTCCAGTCTAGGTGACACTCGATGATCCAGTCAAGGTGACACTCAATAATCCAGTTTACGTGACACTCGATGTTCAATGTTTCTAGGTGAATCGGAGAGAAAGTTTGACAACCTCCACGTGGTCTCTCTGGATGCGAATACTCAAAGGTGTATTCGTAACTAATGTCAAACGGTTTGTTAGGATTTGAAAAATAATATTCATAATATTGTACTTTTCAATAATAAATTCATTTATACCTACTTCAAAATACATGGTCTATGTCATGTAATGTAAAAAAGCATTTATTTAACCTTTTCATATATTTTGTTAGTATTTAACTGCTAATTCTAGAAAATGGATTTGTTATTGATGTCTGTATGAGTAACTTTTGAATATATCTATATTAATTCTAATTGTATTAATTTGTTTCAATATATTATGTACCTTTTTTAATTTGTTTTTACTTTTGATTATATAATATTACCTTTTAAACACAATTTGCCATTTACATCTGAATGGATAAATTTTTTTAATAATCTCAAGATCCGTTAGTAGAATTTTTACATTTTATGCTATGATTGTATCGATTGAAAATACATATATTATGTAACTTCTTACATTTCGTTTGGTAGGTACTTTGTGTCGTATATTGTAGACAGTCGTCAAAATATTATTTCATAT